GCCACCGACATGGGGCACTAGTGTCAGCGCGTACTTCGGTCCGCCGGGTTGATCGCTTTACGCCAGCTTTGGGAACAAAGGACGTAGGACTGCCCATTGCTCATCCGTACCATTCCTTCGAAGTAGATAAAGGCCTTGATGAACGTCTTCCTGTTGGCCGATAATGCCTGCAGCGCATATTTACCGCTTTGAGAATCCTATTATTTTGTTTGGCCTTGCTTCTTTGCTCTGTAGTCTATGGCGACATTCCCTAGCATCCCAACAGTCTGCCGGGTTACGTTGCGAGGCCAACCCACAGATAGTGTTTCCGTACGCTTGCGCGCGGTCACCTGAGCCGGCAGGATATATGGTTTGGCAACAAAGGGGTACATCTACTGAAGAGTATCTTACACTCATCTATCGTTCCGGTCATCTGGCGCGCAAGCCATGCAACGCGCAACAACATTCGTGCGACTTCGCACCAGGCCCATCCTCCATTTGTCCCCTTATAGTGCTGACATATCCCGCGCTTTCTCACAGCGCGCCTGACAGAATATTACCAAGCCATAGAAGCGCGCAGCGCCCCAGTCCTGACGACCTTGCAATCTTCCGAGTACGATTGCAGCTGAGTCATTGCGTTACAACGGCTGAATGCATATGTTTTGCGGGCTGCGCAGTATCCAACTTCGACCCAGGAGCCGTTGCTGACGAGCTTATTATAGCCAAAGCCCACCTCCTTCCCTTGCATACTTCGCAGCTGGAACGTTGTGCTTGTTCACTGGTATGTTTAGGTCATATGACGAGCGACAATACCATCCAGACCTCTGCCAATGTGCTTGTTTCACAGCTTGGAAGGGAAAGAATAGTCTGTAGTGCGCCATGTCAACAACTTATCCTTTTGAATCAACGAGCGGCGCCATGGTACGACCCCCGTTAGAAGGCCGTTAGACATGGCTGCATCTGGTACGCGGAGGCGATCAAGTTCAGGCTTGTTGGGCCTCTATTAGCGCTAACAGATATGAATTGAGACCTATTGCAGCATGTGTCTGCCTTTCGTACATGCTTCACTGGTTGTCTCAGTCTCTTGCCGTGCAAAAATGCGCCCATCTCGTTCAAAAAGCACATTCTGCCGGGCACTGCCATCAATATGACGTATACCGCAGAAAGCGTATCGGCGCTACTTGCCGACCGTGTGGCAGATGGCGAAAACTGTAGATTGCGAAAATGGTGAGGCTCAGAGCCGAAGGCTACCATAGATGTACAGGCGTGAGCTGTAACAAAGAGGACGATGACATGTCCGCAATCTGCGACTGAGGAATTAACTACGCAGGTACGCTGCGGAATACTTTCTGCTATAACCGCAGGCTAGCACGTCGCTCAACGCAGTAGTGCACACTCAATCCGTCGCCTTCGTTTGCTCGAAACAATAAGACCTTAGTCCTCGTTTTGATAGGTCGATATAGCAGGGTGGCGAGCCAAGTTCCCGGCACGGGCGTATCTGATGCTAGTGGTCCTCATGTCCGATTCGGGCTGGTTGCAAAGTGAAGTGGTACCTACACAGAAAATCTTAGCAGACCGGCTGCCACTTTGGCGCATATCGCCTGAGCTCAGGACGGCGATGGAGTGGGTTAACTGCTGCGGACGAGTCGAAGCAGCGCTGTGATTTACGAAGGACTCAACCTTCGAACGGGTGGACATCAGGGTGGTCATGGGGTGATCTGACTGCAGCCAACTCAGGGAAGGATGCTGCATTCATACTGCCCGAGATCAGAACAATCATGGAGTGGACTGATTGCTATGTGTTTGTGGAAGGGCTTAACCTTCAGATTGCCCGAAACCATGGTGCTCGTGGAGTGAGCTGACTGCTACGCAGTCACGAAAACAGCTCTTCCGAAACAAGGAGCCTGAAATAGCCTGAGTATGCTGCACACACGCAAACAACAAATCTCAAATTGCTTAGACTCAGGATGGTCTTGGGCGGACCGACCAGTATAGTAGATGTGCGGACACAAGGAACCTGAGTATGCTTCACACCAATAAATACGAAATCCCAAATTGCCTGGACTCAGGATGGCCTTGGAGTGGGCCGACCCTTTTTTGCACGGACACAAGGAACCTGAGTATGCTTCACACGAATAAATATGAAATCCTAAACTACTTGGACTCAGGATGGTGTTGGAGTGGACCGACCAGTATATTTACGGGCGCAAGTAGTCTGAGTATGTTCCACAACGGCTTGTGTGAACCGTATGAGCACACGTGCTTTACCCTAGTAATGATTGGCACAGTATCGCATTTGAGTATGCTTGTAATCTGAGATCTCGTCGGCATGTGAACCACAATGGGAATGACCTAGACCCCTGACTATCTAAGAAAATAATTACAAACCCCACCTACACACATCACCTGGGATCTGTAAGTCTCGTCTGGCACTGTCCACAAACAACTACAAACCACACAACCGGATGAAAGTAGATGGCTTCGTCAGCCACAAAAGGCCAACTAGGGCAAAGGGTAGAGTACAAGGGAATGCTATAGCTCCCACTTACACACCACAACTACTGAGGTTTGTAACTCTTGCCTGGCACTGCCCACAAAACAATTACCAACTCCACAACCGGATGAAAATCGATGGCTCCATCGGCCACCAGAGGCCGTCTACGGTTAAAGGTTGTACTAAAGAAATGCTACAGCTCCCACATACAGACCGCACCTGGAGAGTGTACCTCTCCTCGGCGCTGTCCGCGGAAAACTACAAGCCCCACAACGGTATGAAAGCTTATGCCTGTATTGATCACCAGGAGACTCTAAACTGATGGATCTTGGGGTTTGCACGTGGGGTCAGTAAAATTTTGCTTAAATATTAATAAACCCATATCTCCTGTATCATAAATCACATATGTACGACAGGAACCTCTTTGCTGGATGTCGGTATACCTCTATATTTAAGAAGACAGGTAGTCTATGTTTATGAAATAGCACCAACTGAACATGAACATATCTTTCGACTATATGATACCGCCCTTCCAAAAATCAAACAGTTCTATGTATATTGAAGAAAACCGGTAGTCTATGTTTATGAAATAGCACCAACTGAACATGAACATATCTTTCGACTATATGATACCGCCCTTCCAAAAATCAAACAGTTCTATGTATATTGAAGCCACAGAAGCCTCACCCTGCACTTGTATATGAGATTCCGCAAAAACATCGCCAAATTCATGTTACTTTACCTTTTGCCGCGAAAATGTACTAACCCCCTCACACCAAGCGCCGCGCAACCACACCCACCCCGTCCCCCCCCCAAAATGAAAAAGGTTCTATGTATATTGAAGTCACACAAGCATCACCGAATTCATGTTACTTTACCTTGCGCCACGAACGGTAACAGCCATGTCACACCAAGCGCCGCGCAACCATATAGGGCACCGCGAGGCCATACCCACCCCGTCACACGGGGCGCTGCATAGGATACCCACCCCGTCACACCGGGCACCGCGCAGCATACCCACCCCGGCGCGGCGTAGCATATCCAACCCGTCACACCGGGCGCCGCGTAGCATACCCACCCCGTCACCAGGCGCGGCGTAGCATACCCACCCCGACCCCGTCACACCGGGCACTGCGCAGCGTACCCACCCCGTCACACCGGGTGCCGCGTAGCATACCCACCCCGTCACACCAGGCGCCGCGAGTCACACCGGGCGCCGCGTAACCATACCCACCCCGTCACACGGGCGCCGCGTAGCATACCCACCCCGTCACACCGGGCACCGCGGCAGCATACCCACCCCGTCACACCGGGCGTCGCGAGTCACACCGGGCGTCGCGAAACCACAACCACCCCGTCACACCGGGCGCCGCGTGACATACCCACCCCATAACTTCTGGCCTCGCGGAAAGCTATCCATCCTGCGATTTTCATAGCTTAATTTATGTATTATTCTTATGGGAATGCCACTTGCGGTTTCTAGTTTCAAAATATAAGCTTTACGAAAACTTTCAGGTAAACATCCATTGCTATTTGTGGTTTCGCACTATGGTTTTTGTGCACAACCTTAAAAATGGTTTGAGTAGTTTGACTAGTTTAAATACTGTATATATTCGATATGCATAAGTGAACACCGAAACTATTCGATCTATTCAAACCCTATGGTTTGAATGGTTTTTTGTTTTTGGAGAAGCTGATGTTTTAAACAACGCAAGGGAAACACTGCTTGCGATTTGGGATTTGAAAGCTATTCGAACTATGCAAGCTATCCAAGCTATCCAAACTATTCAAGCTATTCAAAATTCAGGTAGTTTAAATAGTTTGAATACTTAAGGGCACCAGGCGGAGTCACCAAACTTTAAAACTATTCATAGTTTGAATAGTTTGAATAGTTTAGGGCCCCAGGCGGAGCCACCAAACTATTCAAACCACGTAAAATTTTCAAACTATTCAAACTATTCGAACTTTGAATAGTTTGAATAGTTTGGGGGCCTCAGGTGGAGCCACCAACCGTTTCAAACTATTCAAAGTTCGAATAGTTTGAATAGTTTGAGTAGTTTGGTGGCTTCGGGCGGATACTGAAACTATTCAAACTATTCAAACTATCTCCTTACTCTCACAAACCCGTAATCATCACATTATACATAGAGGTTCCTCGTACACATATATAGATATATATATATTATACATATAATGCTTCAGGTCAACAACTCGAGGCTCATCAAGGCCCAAGTCAAAGGCTTCCTGTCCGAGAACAAGCTGTGCCAAAGTTGCGTGAGCACGTGGCAAATATCACACGAGGACAGAGAACCCAGGGTCGACAATCTTGAGGAAAAACAGGCAGACCAGGTTCTAGCAGTATGTTCCAGGCAGATTACATATGTTTTTCCAACCCTCTCCCTGGCCAGAACCCCGCAGGTGAGGGCAACTCACACGCGGCGTACGCGTTGTAATCCACAGGCTTCTGCAAGTGTCCAATTGAATGAAACAATTTGAAGTCTGGGGAGCTGCAGTGCAGGAAAGACTCACTCCACCAATGTTGAGCAAGTAGGCATCAAAGAGGGGGCCGAGCGTTACCGCAGTCCTTGGCAGAAGGCCAGTGTGCTTGGCATTGAGATAGGTGTGGCCGTGTGGCCATATGGCGTGACTGCTGTGCTTCTGGGCTGCAGCGCGACTCCAAAAAAAAGTGACGTGAAGATGCAACGAATGTTCTTCACGTAATCCTTTCCACACACCGAAACATGAACAGTCTGAAAGAGCTGCGAGAGGAAGGGCTTGAAATCAATGTCCTGAGGACCAGGACTGTCCGAGCCCGCCAGCTGCTCTTGCATCTCCATGGTCTCCATCGTGCCAGGTTAGCATTTGGCAATGGACCGACATGAACAAGCTGACTGTGCCGCTTAGTATGTCTTTTTAGTGAATGTTTGGTTCTGCTTGTTTTTCATGCCTTCTGCCTGTGCTTGTGACGGCCAGCCAAGCTGTCACCACTTCCATGTATCTATCTGTCAAGAGGCACAAACACAAAGTCCAAAATATTGAAAAAGTGAAAGCTGCTATTACTGTTGAGGGTAGCAAAACTGCAAAAACATAAAAGAAACAGATCTGAGGATACGCATTGCATCAGACATGGCTCTGACTGCATGAAAGCAGGGAATCGATGGCACAACCTTGGTAGCTAGCATTCGTTCTGGCTTCTGCAGGACAAAGAATGACTGAGTCACGCACTCACGCTTGCTCAGTTTTCACTCCGAAAGTCATGCGCGGCATCTGCACCAATTCCATCAGGTATTCAGAATCAGGAAGACCTCGACGTCTCACGAAAGCTGGTCAATGCGTAGGACGCAAGACACGTCAGCAATGACTTTTGTCTATTGCGTTCTATTGCACTCGATTTGATCTTGGTCTTCATGTTGTCCGACCGGAAGCATATTTATAAGTATCCAAACATGACCTATCTCGCTCCATCAACAGCCCCTATCTCGTTCCGTGGGCAAGCTGGTCCTGGATGCAAAAATACTAATAGGTCTTAGCTGCGGCTCTCTTACAAGGAAAAGTAGCTGCTCTCCTTGTGGCCAGACTAGCAGGCCCACATCTCATACTTATACTTGGCTCAGATGAGCAGCGAGAATGACAAACAGCACGATGGCGCCGCCAACAGCGTAGATTTGAGCCCTGGCCCCGGAATCGTTCAATGCAATTTCCGTCTCATAGCGTTTCTCTAGGACTCTAGGAATCTGCATTTGCAGGACATTTGCTTGAGACAAGCCGCTCTAAAAATGAGTCAAAAAGTGCCGGCATGGCTTGTTGCTCGTCTTCAAGAGAGCTCCCATCCCCTTCGTCACGACGTCCATCCGTTCCATCTGCGCCACACGGCAGCATACTGTATTCACTCCGGTCAGGCATTATGTAGCAGGCGCTTGCGCAGCCTCCTTCTCTATGTCCTGGTTCAACCTGAACTCTGCTCAAGCATAGCTTCACTTAAGAAGCATTCACATCTTCTCGGTCACAAGGTCCAGGCTCGTCCAGCAACTTTTGCTGGCCTGCCGCGACAGCAGGCTTAATTAAGTCTTTACTTTGAGGGCTCTGTTGAAGCTCAGCATGCTAGACTTTGCTTCTCTGCACATCTCTGATAAGCAATCCGCAATGTCAACAATCCAAGCCGCGGGCTCTCTATTTCTCCATTGATGGTGTATGCCACCTGCAGGATCTCACATTAAAGCGTTCGACAACGACTGATGCTAGCAGTTCTGAAGACGTGGACGTGATTGAATTTTGATTCTATCTCCGACAAACCGAGCCCAGTTCCCATTTCACGTTCCATGTGTTTGTCCATTTGATTCTCCAGTATTGGGGTGATATCCCTACCCTGTAAACAACAAAGCCATATTCCTAAAAATCCTTGTATCAGCTACTGTCAATGTTAGGTGTACTATGGTACCATGAAGGGTGAACATGTGGGTCCCTTTGGTCGTTAAGTACAGTCACTGATGTATTCCCTCTTAGGAAACCCATGTCCAGGGGAGGCGTTTATGTTCATGGCTGAGTCTTTAAAACTGCAGGTTTAGGACGTCCCTCCCCAGCTTGATCACCCTGCGACTGGTTCGAACTGTTTTAGGCAAGGCGACATCAAGCTATAGATATTGGCATGCAAGCTGAAACTTCCTCAGACAAACACGAACTGAGCGGGAAATACGGCCAGTGTCGCCACAGAAACAAGAGATGAATGGCTGTGCAGCTTGTCGAACATGAACTTGTCTCTCCAAGCCTGGCCGAGTCTCTGCGCTCCCTTCTCAAGGGCCTGCAGCTCGTCCTGCTTCAAACAAGAAAGCCACTACACAAAGCGACATAGAACAGAGTCAACCAGCTGCAAGGACAGAAAGCAAAGACATCAATAAGCCGCCAGGACGTTCTCGTGATAGAGAACAACCTACTACGGATCTCTTGAGGGTGCAATAGAGCCAGCACTCATTCTAGATGTCCAATGGCCCTCAGATGCGTAGTGATCAGTGTTTTCTTGTCGCGTCTTGTCGCAAGAAACCACTTCTCATTGTGCACATTTTTCTAGCGCGCTAACAAACAGGGATTGCTACATGTCTGCATGTCTTTCTTATTGCGATAGCAAAACAACCTACTACGGATTGCTTGGGGCGCTGTAGAGCCAGCACTCGCTCTGGATTTCCAAGGGCACATATGGCTTGCTACATGTCTACACGTGTTTCTTATCGAGATGAAAAACAACCTACTACGGATTGCTTGAGGGTGCAATAGAGCCAGCACTCTTTCTAGATGTCCAATGGCCGTTAGATGCGAAATGATCAGTGTCTTTTGTCGTATTTTGTCGCAAGAAAACACGTATCATTATTATCATGCATGTACTCTTTTTATCATTACGAACACGTTCCCACTGAAAGTACCGGGCATCTTTTTGCTGGTGCTGTGGACTAAGCCCATCTTCACAAGCTCGATGCGTACTCACGCAGCCCTACAGAGACAAACCTACCGTACTTGTTCAAGGTAACACTCTCAGCCACGGCTGCGACTTCGCTGTCTTTCCGCGGTTGAGCTGACACCTGATGAAAGGCATCACAAGGCCACTAGGCATCTGTGCAAACCTTTACCTGCCCCCACAAATACAGCCAAAAGTCCGTTCGGCTGCACGGTGCCAAGTCCCTCTGGCGCTGGCCGACTGGGAGGTGCTTGCAGCGCCTGCTGGGGGGCTCCTTGCTGGGCAACCTGGGGGGGTTGCATTGACATCGGAGGTCCGGGCGGCATTCCCTGCGCGGGGGGCGCGTTTCCTTGCATCGGCAAACAGCCCAGGCTTGAGCCTGGCGGGCCCGGGCCTGGCATCGGTGCATTGCCTTGCATGGGCATATTGTTTGACGGCTGTGCGCAGCCCATGCCCTGCATTGGCGTGCAGCCTTGGGAGCAGCCTTGCATGGCATTGCATGGAGATGACATCATCATCCCGGGCATCATCCCAGGCATCATGCCCGGCATCATGCCAGGCATCATGCCAGGCATCATTGGCATCATCATCATTGGCATGCTCATACCTTAATTACCGTCAGCGCTCAGTGCAACTTCCGCATGCACACGTATGACATCCCACTTTGTGCTGAGCCACAGCCGCCCATCGGCATGCTTCCCATCATTCCTGCCAAAAAATGCTGAGTAGAGTCATGTGAGATTTGATCGGCTTATGAGTACCAATTTCGGACGCACCTGTTTGTTACACAAATCCTTACAGCAGCACAACTGAAAACATTCCTTTGCAAACCTTTGACAACAACCGGCATTGCTGAACCATGTCTGTTGTGTGATCGCTCGTTCAGGAGAATGACCTGGCATCATTCCAGGCATCATGCCAGGCGTAGGCTCGTCATCGGAGTCGTCTTCGTCTGCAGGCTCATTGCCTGTGTCATCCACACGACAGCACATGTTGCCGGGCCGCCCATCCTGCCTTCTGTGGCTTGCTGAGCTGCTGCAGCCTGGTTGGTCAAGGCTGTGCGAATGTCATCAGCTCATCAGCAAAATCCAATCCGACCTCGCCGAAAGGGAAAAAATTCTGCGGAGCTCCTCCAGCTGCCGCACCCTGGAAAGGGAAACCAGGATCTGCATGCTTTACTAGACAGTTACCTGACACAAAAAAAAACACCACTGCCTGACGGTCCGGGGTTTTGTCGCGCTTCTCTGCATACTCACAGGTCTGCACATATGCATCAATTAGTTTCTTTGACTTCCTGAGCTCCAGCATGGAAAAAACTGTGCTACACCGTAGCTGCTCGCTTGGTTGATGTGCGTGACCGCGTTATGTGAAGCAGAAATCGGGGCCAATAACTCTACGAGCGACAGCTTCAATCTTAAAACCTCAAAGTCTAGTAATGGAAAGGTTTTGCCTAATCAGGAGTTCAGATTCAAAAGGCTTAATTAAATTTGACTCAATTGTATGGCTGCTGCTGCAATAAGATTGGGGGAGCTGAGTCTGAAATCTGATTTGCTGGTCAAAATTCATTAGGAACCAAAGGCTCAAACATTGCTTCCTGAGCCACCCATGGGGACCTGGCGGAAGAGGATCGCAATCGTTACAAGACAGAAACAAACCTAGAACAATAGAAGCAACTCGAGATCATTCTGAGGATTGGCATTCGTCCATTGCTTTTTAATGTAGCGCAAGGGGGTGCACTTACCAATAAAGAGCTCGAATTAGAAGTCAAAACATACTTGTCATATCCGAGCAGCAGCTTTTCAATAAATCTTCCAGTCAGATCGAACACCAAGCAGTCCTGCAACGTTCAGGAGTAGCACTTACTACGGAGGTTCTGCATCACAAGCCGCCTTTAAGGTGATGAAAGACTCCCGGTCTTCTCCACCAATTCGCTTGTCGACTAGCTTTCCTGAACACACAGTTTCGTAGGATTGCGCCGTCTGGGGCTCTTCAGCGAAAGACCAGCGCCCAGGCCCTCGTAGTCAGCGTTGTCTTCTTCCGCGCCATGCTTCCCGGCACACCTCAGCGAGTTCCAGGGTGCTTTCAGGCAGACTTATCATCTCAAAGCGAGCCTATATGTGATGCGGACGTAGCTGCCCATCTTGAAGCCTGGCAGAACGGCCACATGCCAAGTACGGTACGGCACGATGTCTGATTCCCCCTGCCTCGGGTGGGCATCCGCCGGTTGCTAACGGGCTTGGTGCGGACCAAGCCTGCCTTCGGGGCCCAGTATGCAGATTGTGCTGGTGCTGGCGCATTTGCTCGAATCTACATAGTCTACAAGAAAATCTGCCTGGCCGCCCATTGGGCCCGACATGGTCTTTCAAGGCCCACTGCACCTCAAAGAAGTTTGTTATGAAAACAACAAAGAAGTCATGGCGCCAAAATCTGCCAGAATGTTCTCTGGGATCACCACAAGCGCGCGCTGTGCAGTCACACGCAGTGAGCGGAGCTTGGCGTCTGGGGAGCATGACGTCAGGCTTGTGCCGATAAAGCTGCGAGGACTTCTGAATGTGTGGCCACGGACTACAGTAGCACAAATGAGAACCTCTAGAAAGGCAGGCTCTCCTGATATCATATTGTGCGGGGTGAGTTGTCCTCCTGCTGGGCGATCAGCTGTTTCTGCAGCAGCCGTTGCTCTTCAAGGAAGGCTTTGCTTTCTTGGGCCAGCTGCCTGGGAGGCGCGGAAAAAAAGCACATGCACACTGCAGACAGCACACTCAAGCCCTGCCTTTGTTCAGTTTCTTGTGCCTGTCTTTGCTTGCGGAGTAGCACTTGCTTCCTGTCCTTGCGTGGATGCAGATTTCTGATCTGAGCGAGCTCAGCATCTGCTCGGCCTCTTCAAGCTTCTTTTGCACCGCTGCGCTTGAAAGGCTGGACTCTATCTCCAGGTGGGCGGCCTGGCCTCGAGAGCGTTGACCACATGTCGCAAGGGCAGCGCAGGTCATTTGGTAGGGACGCTGCTGGCAGCACAAAACTCCTGCAGAACAGCTCAACTCTTGAAGCAACCTGTGTGAGTGAATGTTGCTGTCCTTTCTAGCAGCGAGCTGCTCGTCACTGAGGTGGAAGCGTTCTCGATTGGCCTCTACCGCCTTGTCAGAAAAACAAAAAAAGTTGCACTAGAAGTCCAGATAGCAGCGCCTTGATACTCTGTTGAACCTGGAAGGCTTGGCTTGTTTCACGGTCATAATTCATTGGACTCGTTGTTAGGAAAACCGGGCCCCAGCCTCTGCAAGGTCTGCACTGAGCTGCGCTAGCTCGGCCAACAGTTCCTCATTTCGCTCCTCCAGACGAGCGAGGATGCGAGCGGTGCCCCGCCTAAACTCAGCTAACTTAGCTTCTGCAATCACCTGGAAGATGCGACTGTCTGCTGTGTTCTCGCTTTGTAGCAAACGCTGCCACCTCTGCTGTTCACCATCCTTGCCGAAAACAGCACCTCAGACTGAGAATCGAGCTCTTTGTGCATGCTGCGCACCTGAAAAATGTTGCAAACGCGAATGCACCCAGCATATCTTCACAACTCTAACACGAACATACATGGTTTTCAGAACAGTCGACCCTGCACTGCCTTACGAACTGCTGCTTCCACTTCATCTCTTGCCTGAGGCAGTGAAGAAGCCGCGGAATAATCGAAAGACCACAACCGCTTAAAGACCACGACAGCCTACGACAGCTTCAAGGCTGAGGTCGCGGCGACATCAAATGGATCGCTTGATGTGGAAAGCATACTCTGAGAGATAACAATCAGAGCCTGTAATTTACCGCCTGAAGCTCGGTGCTATGCTTTGCTAGTCACCGCATATGGCAAACATTACTAACTTCTACCATATTTTGGTTGTGAAGCTGGATATGGCTGCTAAACGCGCCGATGCCTAGTAAATGTCATCGCGATCTGCACTCGTCCCATGTGCACTCAGAGCTAACTTCGATTTCCTGCTCTTGCATGCGAGTAGGCAAGTAGCACGCATGCAGCTGCTAGACAGCTGCCGGCGTCTCTCTGATACTCAGACTACGACTGGCATTGCCGCTCACAGATTCTTGCACTTCAAAAGCGACCTTGCGGCTGGGATAGCAGAAGCCGCAAGTTGGATTGTCTGAGATCCAAACTCGCTGTGTGATTTGAGCTTCATCATCGTCCTTGATTTGTCCCAAGGACAAGGCCTCGGTGAGAGTACTGCCATGGGAGTCTACACTGTCGCTCTGCATGCTTGCGTTCCCCACTTCAATAGCCGAAAGCTGTCAGAAAGGCCTCAGGACAATCGGGATCTGAAAACTCAACACTTCTTATCAGAACTCCAAGACTCCTGCCAGCTGTCAGACCGACCCGCTCTTGCTTGGAGAGGAACACCTGCCTCAGCAGTCGTCTGAAACTGGAACCCTACGAGTAATTCAGCAAGGCGCACGACTACCCGAAAAAACAATGGCTGAAACAAGTACCGCTTGGCAAGAGCTTCAGCATCAAGTATGAGTGAAAGATGTCCGATGTCCATTTGCACCACACCCCTGTTGAGCAGGAATTTCCGTGCCTGCCCACCGGAGCTTGTCAAATCGTCTGGAGGCATTGTATTGGAAGGGAATTCAATTCAAGCTAGGGTGCCCCCACAAGGCTAAGAGAACGGTGTAGAATATGGCTTCACCCGGCCCGACTTACAAGCATGCGGCTAAGCATGCTGTAGACGTGCACCCACCTGACTGGGTCCAATTCAAGGCGCGCACTAGACATCCACTTGTTTCCGCAGCGCCAAGGCTCACCAAGATCCAATTTCGCAGCAGGTATTTTGACAATGTCAATGTGTCAGCCATGAGGGATCATATGATCTAAACAACCTAAACAGCCGACTGGAACACGGCCAGCTACACATGCTTCCACCCCAGCTGCCCTGGCCCTAGATGAAGAACTGAAACCCACAGACAAAAACAAGCTCTGGAGCCGTCAACATAGAGGTCATGACAGAATCTAAAGCTTCCAGCCTGCAGAAGTTGTGGGCTTCATCATGGCTTGAAAACGCAACGTGTGACCTTGATATGAAGCCTATTCATCATGAACCCTTCGTGTCTCAATATGAAATGCAAAAACCAAGAAGGTTCCCAGCATCACGAGCATCATTTGATCTTCGTTTTACCTATATACGAATGAAGCCTCTTATGCAAGCTGCAAACGGAACTCACATCCCCCTTAAATCCCAGAGGGTGTCGCTCCTTCCTCCGTTTCATAGTATGGATTTGCAGAGTGGTTTTTCCTTCATGACATACTGGGGCTTGGGTCACTTTCCGTCTCTGCGTCACCATGGCCTGGCAGCCTTCTGCCTCTATGAAACGTGGGGGTGCCGTCTCTTTCATGAAAGGGTGAGGATAATGTTTACAGTTTACATCTTGAGTGACACAGCTTGCACCTGGGGATCGCCTGCACTCCCAGTGACCATATCGGGCCAGCTATGTTCTTGAGGGCCGGACTAGTCAAGTTCACTGACTGGATTCTACTTGTTGGACATGCGGAGTGCCGCGGAATTCATACACTTTAGCATCGTGGGGAAAAAGTGCGCTCAGGTGCCAGGATGTCTATTGTGAGCCTATACAGGCCTCACCAAGCCATATCTGGACACACTTTCCTCCTGCCTGCAAATCACCTCCCCCTAACAAACGCCTCCCCCTTTGTAAAAACCTGGGCGGGTTATTATTTGACACTCGGCGGATTTTATTCCAAGGAAAGATCGGGGACGTAATTTACAAAACAGGTAAGACTTTAACCGAGATCTATCGAAATCTAGTTAAAACCTAAGTTACTTTCACTGATCTAAATTAAATCTTAACGTGATTCACATGCGAGTAAAAACTAATTGAGATCTGATTGAAACCTCAATCAAGTCCATGTAATTGAAATTGAAGTCACATCTAACTCAAGTTGAGTCAAAAGCACTCGCGATCTAATTGAAATCAACTGGATTTTACTCCCGACACGAACTGGACGACCCCCCGGCTTTCACTAAAATCATCAAAAATCGCGCTCTCGCTCGAGACGTCCTCAAAATTTTGATGCTTCGTTCAGATTTTTTGACGTTATGAAAACGTCGAAATTGCGCACTTTCATCGGACAGTCGGCCTATTTTGAGCCTCGGCTCACTTTTTCTTATCTTGATGCTATCTTTAAAAATCGCGCTCTCCCTCGAGGCGTCTTCAAAATTTCGCTGACTTGTTTTTACATTTTTATGTTATGAAAACATCAAAATTGCGCTCTGAAATGTCTTCAAGATGTTGATGATGTCTTAAAAAATCGCGTTCCCGCTCGAGACGTCCTCGAAATTTTGTCGATTTGTCTTCTCAAGGGTGAGGTTCTTGGGGGGTCGTTTTAGTGTAGGTTGGTATAGGATTCCTTGGCTTCGTTCTTCGTGTGTTTGATCGTTTAAGGAAAAATTTCTCTACTAATTCTATACTAAACTGTTTCGCTCAAGATCGTTCTCTCTCAACCAAAATCGCGCTCCCGTGCGGAATGTCTTGAAAAAATTGATGAATCGATCTTTAAAAATGGCGCTCTCGCTCGAGACGTCCTCGAAATTTATCGTTCTGCTTTGATCAAAATCGCGTTCCCGTGCGGAGCGTCTTGAAATTTTTGATAAGTTGATTTTTGAAAATCGCGCTCCCCCTCGAGACGTCCTCGAAATTTCGTCGATTCATCTTATCAAGGGTGATTTTCTAGAGGGCATGTTTTAGTATAGGCCTGGTATAGGTTTTACCGGATTCATCGTTAAAATTTTGATTATCTAAGAAAAATCCTATACCGATTCTATGCCAAACTGATTCGCTCCAGGTCGTTCTCTCATGATCAAAATCGCGCTCCCGTGCGGAACGTCTTGAAAATTTTAAGAAAAATCGAGCTCCCGTGCGGAGCGTCCTGAAAATTTTGAAAAAAATCGCGCTCCCGTGCGGAGCCTCTCCAAAATTTTGAGAAAAATCGCGCTCCCGTGCGGAGCGTCCTGAAAATTTTGAAAAAATCGTGCTCCCGTGCGGAGCCTCTTCAAAATTTTGAGAAAAACCGCGCTCCCGTGCGGAGCGTCCTGAAAATTTTGAACAACATCGAGCTCCGGTGCGGAGTCTTGATTTTTATTTACGAAAATCGCGCTCCCGTGCGAAACGTCTTGAAAAAATGACGATGCATAAATACATTCATACGCACATGCATAGGTACACATGCATACATGATCCCCCTTCAGATTCACAGGTGACCTCAAGCCCCCCATTCTGTCCTACAAAATGGGGTGGTAAACCATTTGCTTCATTTTGGTTATATGTTGTGGGGGGGAGGGGCGTCATCTCATAGACAAAGAAAATCCCAGTTAGCAAAATTTAAAATGAGGGGTACGACCATGTGCATTTGCTGGTCTTTTTTTCCATTGTGACGTCCACGACGTCAAAATTTGAGAATTTGTATTTGTTTTGCGATGTTTGTTCAGCTGCTCGTAGGTTTTAGGGCCTTGCGAAAACCCCCTAAACCCTACACGCAACCTAAACCCCGCCAAGCCTAAAGCTCTGAACCCTACACCCACCATTGGGTCTCGCATTATTCAGAAGCTTTCTCCTGTTTGTAAACAGCTCACAAAGGAGGCCGCTCCCAAGGTTCAGAGTTGCCAGGGTGTGGGGTTGCGTAGGTGGGCACAGGGGTTTAAAGTGGGTATAGGGTGGGTGTAGGGTCGGTAGGGTTTTACATATGGCCAATAACACATTATTAAAGCCTATTTGTGCTCAATAAGCCCCATAACCCGCACTCACCACAGGCTTTAGGGTTCAAGCTGGATGGGGTTTAGGGTGCGTATAGGGTCTATGTAGCAGTGGCTTTGCACGAAGGGAGCGCTTATAGTTTACAATCGGGAAACCCTATTAACACCCTGTGCAACTCAAACCTTAGACACCCTATGCACGCCCTACACACTAAATCCTACGAACCCTTAATCCTACAAACCCTAAATCCACAAACCCTAAATCCCACAAACATCTACAAACCCTAAATCCTACGAACCGTTAATCCTACAAACCCTGAATCCTACGAAGCCTAAATCCCACAAACCCTAAATCCTACGAACCCTTAATCCTACGAAGCATTAATCCTACGAAGCCTAAATCCTACGAAGCCTAAATCCTACGAACGCTAAAACCTACGAAGCCTAAATCCTACGAAGCCTAAATCCTACAAACCCTAAATCCTACAAACCCTAAGTCCTACGAAGCCTAAATCCTACGAAGCCTAAATCCTACGAAGCCTTAATCCTACAAACCCTCAATCCTACGAACCCTTAATCCTACAAACCCTAAATCCTACGAAGCCTAAATCCTACAAACCCTAAATCCTACAAACCCTAAATCCTACGAAGCCTAAATCCTACGAAGCCTAAATACTACAAAGCCTAAATCCTACAAACCCTAAATCCTACGAAGCCTAAATCCTACAAACCCTAAATCCTACGAAGCCTTAATCCCACAAACCCCCTACCTTAAATCCTACAAACCCCCCTAACCTAAATCCTACGAACCCTTAATCCTACGAACCCCCTACCCTTAATCCTTGAAACCGCCCTACCCTAAATCCTACGAACCGTTAATCCTACAAACCCTGAATCCTACGAAGCCTAAATCCCACAAACCCCCTACTTTAAATTCTACAAACCCCCTACCCTAGATCCTACGAATCCCAAACCCTACAAAACCTTACCCTTAAATCGAACCATCAATTTTTTGACCCCCCTACCCTAAATCCTACAAACCCTAAATCCTACAGACCAATTTAAGGTTCGTAGGATTTAGGGTTTGTAGGATTTAGGGTAGGGGGTTTGCCGCGGGGTTTGTAGGATTTAGTTTTCGTGGGAGTTAGGGTTTGTAGGTGGCATGTATTGGCCAAACAACTAAATTCCATGAAGTCCCATGCAAAACGGTAGTTTATTTTGGCCAGGCCAGAATATTCCATAAATTTATGGGCTTTGAAAGATTCAGACTATGTTTCGAAAAACAACAAGTAAATGGAATATATTGGCCGGCCAATGTTTCTCATGGAATTCCTATGAAAAACCAATGGGAAACATTGGCCAGGCCAATCAATGTTTTCCATGAATTTAGTTAGGGTTTTGTAGAGAATCTCCTGGGCCAGGTCCCATGAAAACCCATAAATTCATCGAATATTTCGGCGAGGCCAATATATTCCATGAATTTCTATGAAAAAGCAATGGAATATATGGGCCTGGCCAATACATTCCATGAATTTACGGTTTTCCACAGAATCTCCTGGGATAGGCCCTGAATCCATGAAAATTTGTAGATTCATGGAATATATTGGCCAGGCCTATATCATCCACGAATTCCTATGAAAAGACGATGGAATATATTGGCCTGGCCAATATATTCCATGTTTCTCCATGAGAAAACAATGGAAAACATTGGCCAAGCCAATGTATTTCATGAATCCATGGAATTTCATAGATTCCTGGCCAGTCTCAACAGATTTTCTGGAAAGCCCGGCCAATGTTTCCACTGTTTTTCATAGGAATTCATGAAAAAGCATTGGCCATGCCAAAATTTTCCATGATTTTTGGAATTTCATAGATTTCGGGCTGGTCCCAGGAGATTCTCTGGATGGAAAACATTGGCTTGGCCAATGCTTTGCATTGCGCTTCACAGGAACCCATGGAAAACATTGGCCAGGCTCATATTTTCCATGAACTCTTGGATTTTTACAGATTTCGGGTTGGTCCGGTCCCAGGAGATTGTGGAAAACCATAAATTCACGGAAAACATTTTCCTTGCCAATGTTTTCCATTGCTTTTCACAGGAACTCATGGAAACATTGGCCAGGCCAATATATTCCGTGAATCTATAGATGTTCATGGATTCAAGCCTATCCCAGGAGATTGTTTAAACAAGCCTAAATTCATGGACGTATTGGCCAGGCCAATACATTCCATTGTTTCTTCACCCCAGCCCAATACCCAAGTTGTCCTATTGTTTCGAGGTTGGTTCTGGGGGGGGTGACCATATATATATATATATGTACATTCGAAAGTTTTTTCGAATTTCTGGTTTATTGAGGTTAGGGTTTATACAGTATAAGGTGTATAGGGTAGGGGTGTAGGTTGTAACGGGAACTGCCCCAGGCCGTAACGGGAACCGTGAAACGGAAACCGGGCCACGGTTAACCGGAACCGGGGTCGGGTAAAACGGGAACCGCTGCCGCAGGTAACGGGAACCGGAGCCGGGCCAGATGTAACGGGAACCGACGAGCACGGGCGTCCGAGCTACGGGAACGAACATGAGTTGACCGACGCGTGAGCTTCCTGCGTGCTGGCACGGTCGGGACGACCGGCTGGCCGGCACTTAATTTCCAGCGCTTTTCCGGACGCGACACCTTCCCGAGCCTCATCCCGAGCGACCAATATCTCGCACCAGAACCTCCTATGACCCCGGCCCCTCCCCCCTCACACCCGTTAAACAGTCACCATGAGCATCTTTTAGAGGTTTCCCGACCTCTCAAAAAGGTGACCGGCCAGCGGTCACCTTGTTTAAGAGGTCGCCAGCTAGCCCAAATAAGGTGACCGGCCGGCGGTCACCTTGTTTTGGCCAGCTGTCAACCTTTGGAAAGCGGTCCCGAGTAACCAATGAACAGCCATACCGCCCCAGAAAACCTCTCATATATGTATATATATATATATATATATCCACAATACGTGTAATATACCACCAGTATACGTCTAATACACCCCCTTATACCTCAAATATACCCCATTGTGCCTTACCCCCATAATTCCCCTAAGATAGAGTCTAGGGTTTAGTTTCAGGTTTGGGGTTTCG